CTTGGCCTTGATAACTTTATCCGGGTAATAATAGCTTGATACTGTATCTTGTTATTCATTGATAATGTTCTAAGATATTCATGAAGTGTCTGAGTCTTGGTTAATCTGCAATATAACATACTATGAGAAGATGATAATAAAAGATATGCAACAATAATAACATATTTAGGTTATTAACATTTTCAGCTAATTGACTCTGAATAAGACGCAATTAATAATCTCAAGGCAGAATATAATTGCAGAAAATAAGGATAAACTCACATTAGTACATCTTCCCACCAATGGGCTTTTCCAACAAACCTGGTGATACATTCAGATAATTTTACCCCTGACATTTACAAGCACAATTTACAACCAACATTCTTACTCACTGTTTTATTGAGGAAAGCTAAAGCTGAAGCCACGAATATCTTACAGCAAAGCACAATATGAATAAGTTAGAACAAATACTTACGTAGACAAGGTCACCACCACCACACCTTAAGAGTACCACCAACTTGCATCTGGTGGAAGCATCTAATATTTCAGTTAAACGTATTGTACTGTATAATTTCACAAAATATACCAACTAGCCAATACATTATTTTAACTGAGAAGAATTATATTGCCTACAGAAACGTGTATTGTCATTCTTGTACAACGTCAATTTTTTTCCACTAGTCAAGATGAACTTCGAATACTGTACTGTATATACAAAAACAATAGCCTATTACCCAAAAACCTGTGCGTAATTCGTAACAACCTGTAGTAGGTGTATCTATCTATAACCTGCCTTTCCCATTTCCGGAATAATGAAAAATACTGTAAATCATATGTGGTTTATAGTGAGATCGCTGACCTGTGCCAGGAATCAAAGAAAATAGAGAAATTGCTGATAAATTAAATTCCATCCAGGATATTGTATCAAATGAATAGCAGCACAAAGCCTAGTGATATAACCACTGCCGTTCTACCCAATAAATTTCCTAAGTGTTTTAAAGACGTTCCCACATTCTCCTCATAACAAACTTCCTCAAACGGCTGTAAACTGTTCCTATTCCTGCTTCCCCCCTTTAAGTCCATTAAATAGCCTCTAAAACACACCTGGATTAAGTCATGTAGCCAAAAATATAGTGAAGATTAATTTACCTTATTTTTCAGACGTGTTCAGCTCTCCTCTTGGCCTTGATAACTTTATCCGGGTAATAATAGCTTGATACTGTATCTTGTTATTCATTGATAATGTTCTAAGATATTCATGAAGTGTCTGAGTCTTGGTTAATCTGCAATATAACATACTATGAGAAGATGATAATAAAAGATATGCAACAATAATAACATATTTAGCTTATTAACAGTTTCAGCTAATTGACTCTCTGAATAAGACGCAATTAATAATCTCAAGGCAGAATATAATTGCAGAAAATAAGGATAAACTCACATTAGTACATCTTCCCACCAATGGGCTTTTCCAACAAACCTGGTGATACATTCAGATAATTTTACCCCTGACATTTACAAGCACAATTTACAACCAACATTCTTACTCACTGTTTTATTGAGGAAAGCTAAAGCTGAAGCCACGAAGATCTTACAGCAAAGCACAATATGAATAAACTGGAACAAATACTTACATACCCAAGGTCATCATCACCTTAAGAGTACTGTACCACCAACTAGTATCTGGCGGAAGGAAATAATATTTCATTTAAACGTATATACACTATATTATCTCACCAAATATACCAACTAACCACAAGATTATTTTAATTGAGAAGGATTATCATACTGCACTGCACTGCCTACTGCAACCTGCATTACATTCTTCCTATACTGTACTGTAGTATTAAGCTTATTTATTGCATTTATTTGAAAATCAGTCGTGGTGTAGAAATTGACAGCATTAATATACAATTATACTGTATATTATATTCCTACAGCAGATGTACACGTAAACCTACTAATAAATTCCCCTATACGTAAACGGGATACTACGCTATCTATTTGTAGATATAATTACTAAACTCTATAAGCTGACAGGCTACTATCCCAGCTATACGCAGACCGGAAATTATATGCGATCTACTGTACAATATATCATATAAGGAAATTTGGTCAATTTATAGTACGGGACATAATTCGATAGCGTTTTTTTGTTGCGAGAAATAGTGGAACCCCGCTATATCTTTTACTACCGCTTAGATTTATTTTTCTTACTTAATAATAAGTTGAGACAAAAATAAACCAATTTTCTTCTATAAAACTTTTCTCATAATTTACCCAAAACCGAGATATCGCGAGTTGAAAGTTACTAGAAAACTACTCGAAAAAATCCTAGCGCGCCGGCGCGGAGGCGAGAAATGGCGGGATTTCAATTTGAACCTGGCCGTCGCGCGGGAAGGGTGTGACCCGGGGGCGGGAGATTAAAAGCAACCTTTGCAAAAGTTCTTCGGACAACCAGCAATTTTTTCTCCAATTTCTGGGGGAGAACGCCAGGACCCCTCCTGAGGTTGATTTTTAAGGTAATTATTGACTTTTGATTATATATATATATATATATATATATATATATATATATATATATATATATATATATATATATATATATATATATATATATATATATATATATATATATATGTATATATATATATATATATATATATATATATATATATATATATATATATATATTATATTTTTTTTTTTGGCAAGTACGGAGCCCTCCCCCCAGATTAGGTTTGGTTGGTTAGGATAACTTAATTAGTATTACGTCGTTGATAACACCAGCCACACCTACGTAACCTTACCTAACTTCTTAACCAGTGGGCTCCAGCCCCCTGCATATTAAATACATGTCTGTACAAAGTCGTTTGTCAGGGAAACGTCATAGAAGAAAAGTTGGTGGCAACAAATGCATTTAATAGCTTTTCCACTAGTTTTCCGATTTTCAACTCCTGATATCTCGATTATTGGTAAAATATCCCAAAAGTATCATAGATGAAAAGCGTCTTGTTTTTGTCTGAACTTATTAGTAATCCCCCAAAATATATATCGAATATCCTGTACTATAAATTTACCCAAATATTTGGCTCTATATACGTATTTTCAACTCCTGATATCTCGATTATTGGTAAAATATCCCAAAAGTATCATAGATGAAAAGCGTCTTGTTTTTGTCTGAACTTATTAGTAATCCCCCAAAATATATATCGAATATCCTGTACTATAAATTTACCCAAATATTTGGCTCTATATACGTATATACTAAAAATATACAATAATTAGCTAACATCATATAAAGAGATATGACTTTAAAATACCGGTACCTATGCAGTACAGTATACACCTACCCGGTATACTGTAGTGTACTATTATCTAGCAACACAGTGAAAGAAAAATTATGAAAATATCGTATAAATACTAAACTAGTTCAGAGAAACACATACATAACTAATTATATAAGTCAGGACGCTGGTTTAAACTACCACCGTCGAAGAGTTTAAACAAGTATTCTCAGAGGATTAAACTATTCTTCTCGCAAGATTAAATCATCTACCTTGAACAAAGTAACGATTTAAAGGTTAAACTATCATCTTCAACGGATTAAACCATCTATATTCAACGGATTAAACCATCTATCTTCAACGGATTAAACCATCTATCTTCAACGGATTAAACCATCTATCTTCAACGGATTAAACCATCTATCTTAAATAAATTAACATTATCTCCAGTAAAAACATCGTCTCTAAGTGGTTAAACTATCAACCTTAGGGTTAAGCCGCATCATGACTTCAATTCCTCGTCCACAAGATTTTAAATGCACGTTAAATTACTCTAAGGTTCCTACACATTAATGATAATATACACCTGAAAACACTTATCGAGGTACACTATCACCTTAACTATCGGATCAGAGAAAGCAAATTACCTGACAAATAAGAAGAGCTATTATAATTACCGTTTCACAAAGTAAAGCCTTACCTCAAAATATCTTGCCGGCTTCCTTGCCGTCCTCACCTCCGTTGTTTAATCGTTCATCCGAAGCTCTTTGGGGAATATTTTCTATTGCTAACACTTATTTAGTCAATAAATCACCTTACAACTTGGATGTGGTTTGCTTGTAAAGCTAAAATTCCAGTAAAAGTTAGGAATTCCCAGACGATGGCCGCCAGTACCTCCAGCCTCCACCGCCAAGGATGCCGATGACGCCCACAGAGGAAGTGACGTCAGACAATTCGCAAAATATTTTATAATTAATTATCATTATTTGTACTTTTTTATAGTAACATGCATGGTTTTCTAGATGTCAAATTATGCAATTAAATATTTAATAATTTTATTTTTATATTTATCCTCAGTTCATACACTTACGTTTTTTTTTTAAGATGATGTTTTACATTAACATTCGAAAGGGTTAGCGTTTTAATACTATACTGCGCTTTACCTCTGTACTAAGGTCTTTAAGGGCGTAAGAATTTAAAAATTATATTAATACGTGAAAATTTAAAAAAAAATAACGAGAAAGATATAGAACTCTGGATAATTCAAAGTTAATAACATTGCAATTCAAGAAGTTAGTACTTTCGTTGATCATTAAAAGCCTAGCGGGTACAAGGGTAACCTCTACAAGGTTAAAAGTCACTATATTAAGTATGGTTACATTATTTACTTCTCATTAAAAAAATCTGCATTAAAAAAAAATCCTGCTAATTTTCTTCAACGTCTCAGGGTCGATCTTTGTTGTGGTGCCCTGGGGACGCTACAGGGAAGTGTTAAAGATATACAGGGTGCAGTGCTGATAGAGGAGACTGTAATTTGACTGTAGAATTGGGGAAGGATAACGAAGTGGAAACAAAGACTGCATCATGCATAAAATTAAATATCCCGAAGAAATAAACAATCTGTGAATATTATTTGTAAAGATTGGTCGTTTGGAGTAAAGGGCCAGAGGTGGAAAAGAAACATGGGTAGGTAGAATTTAGACCATTTTATTGTATTGCATTTATGGTGAATTTTTATGTGATTGGGACCCCGTGTAGGTCGAAGTGCTTGTTGCTTGCGAACACCCAGTCCTCGTTCTGATGGGCCACCAGGAAGTACCCGCGAGCCCTCAGGAACGCCTCCAGGTCCTCCTCCGTCAGATGCTCGATGGCCAGCACCTGTCAAATCACACACAGTGGATTGTGTTCTTGGAGTTAGGAACGTGACTTATTAAATGGCATTTCATTAACTACTGAACTGATTAACATTCAAGCTCGATGCTGGACACCATTCATAAATCCTTAGATATAGTAATTTAACAAAATATAAAGTTGATAATAATTGAAATAAGTAATAGCATAATGTAGTGGTTTTAAGTTAAACAGTAAATCTTAACTTCTCGTAGGGAGGGTAAGTACTGTCCTCAGATCTCAAAG